ATATTAATTTTTACATCATGTACAACTTCACTTCTAATTTTGCTAAAAAAATGTAACAGTTCTCATCACAAGTTCTGATGAAGGCCGAAGAAAAAGGAGCCGAAATGTCAACAAAATAAAATAAATTTATAAAAATTATACATTGGTCTGCTTCATACAATAAACTACAATTGTTAACGAAACACGAAATTATTTAGTAACGTAGATTAAAAAAAATTAATCTTAGAGAAAAAAAATTATCTATCAAATAAGTACTTATATGTATAGAATAAATTTTAATAATACTTAAAATAAATATAGATTGACTTAGAGAATAGCACTGAATAAGAATGTTATTTCTTAATTGTAATTGTTTTGCTCTTCTATTTCACCCTTGTGCACATGCTTCTGTTCTTTAATAATAATTTTTCTTAAAAAAGACGTAAAACAGGTTTTGAAAAAGATTTAAGATTTTAACGGTGCAGGGTTGATGAAACACATTTACATACATTCCAAAGAAAAAAAAATACTTCGACAAGTATTTGCCAAAAATATCAACAATTTAAGAACAAAGGCTTTCACGGCCGGAATACATAGTAGAATAAAGACGTCTTACAGCCCGAATCTTTATTCTACTATATCAACAATTGTTTGGAAAAATAAATTCTAAATCTTTTTGTAGCGTTTCTGAATTTAGTGTTTTACTTGAACATTGAATATTAATGTGTAGTGGTAGTTGTTGAAGGTTTTAAAAGTAAAATAGACGATATTGCTATTTTAATCGACAAAATGTTTAAAAAAAATTGTGTCAGTCAAATATAAAATCTACCCAAAATTAAGAAGAGAAAGGCACTCATTTAATTCAAAAACACTATGCCTCTTATGTAATATTTCTAAACTAAAATAATATAACGTTTCTATATGAGCGTTACATTTTATAGATAAACCTTATAATGATTATAAAAATAGTTTTATCAGTTAAGCAGTTATCGTTCTTTTAATTAATTGTCGTTTCGTTTTTTTCTATTTCGATATAAGGAAAATAATGAGTTTATATACCATTATGTGCTTGCACTTCAAACACATCATTTTTATAATAATATTTTAAGAGTTTTACCTGTTAATAAGCTGGCCGTTTTATTTATCTAAATATATGTTTACTAGATCACAGAATTTGTACTTTTCAGTCACCATCAATATCCTTAAACAACACCATTTATGAAAACTCTTCTACCTTCCCTATTCTCCAAATACCGTCCACTAATTTTTTGTTTTTACTTTCATTACCAACAACATTTTCTTCTGGTAACGAATTTAAATTATTATTTTCCCTAGATGGATTATTTTTCCTGTAATTCCTATACAGGCCTGCACCAGACTCCTTATCGTCTACCCCCATTAATTTTCTTAAAGAATTTCTATTGTAACTTTTGTATCTTTTTGGCTTTGTTTTTTTCGGGTTCGTTGTAAAGAAACTTTGAAACTCACTTTCGTCAATTTCTGGTATACAGTCGTCTTCAAAGCGTTCATAGTTGGACAGTTTGGAAAATTTGTGGGAAGGGTGGTAATAATGCCGAAAGTTGGGCTCATCAGAGTGCAACTGCATACTGGTCCAAACATGTGTCAGAAGTAAAGGAAAACGAGCCAGCCAGTAATTAATGAAGTCTTCAGGGTTGTTTCCCAGATGCTTTTGGGCATCCAGAGACAGTTCGCGATAGTGATGTCGCTAAAAGTATGTGACAATGATGAATTAGGGGATAGCTCTGGGGGGCGAACTTAATCAATTACCTTATTCCTTAAAGCTCTAAGCAGATCCGCGATACTGTCGCCTTTGTAAGAACGATATTTTCGGAGGTCTTCAGCAATGTCCTTGTGTATGTAACGACGCCAATCGTTTCTAACAACCGCCACATTATCCACTTCAAGGGACTGAGCAACTGCATCATCTGGTTGAGCCTTTTCAATTCGATCACTTACATCCTATTTAAAACCAACAACAAAGGCAATATAATAAACATTGCAAATAATTATCAATTGACGAATAAAATTCCACCTTATCTTAAACCTGACAATGGGCAGCTAAATAAATTATCTAACGTAGTACTTACTTGGAGAAAATTTAAAATAGTGGAACCGTTCCAAAACATTGGATGATTTAAGACCGCAATAGCCGGTGGCCTTTCTTGTGGCTTCTCAGATATCATCGCGGTTATAAGCGTCTTTTGAAGTGTGACTTTCCAGCGGTGGTCTTTGAGGGACTCGAGGTTCCAATCGCCTCCTAATATATTGGCTTGTCTACGAAGAGTGTCGCCAAATGGATGCTCACCATCTGACAGCACGTAGTAAAATAGACAACCCAACGAAAATATATCGACTGCACACGTCTGAAATTAAACAATCACTAAATTAATATGACTATATCTTCAATAATTATATTTTTGTTAATTACTCCAGGCTACAAACAGCGGTGTTCTGAGTAAAATCATTGCAAACTTTGCCATAGAATAACAAGAAGATAGCAAAAATAAGAAGGTAATAAAAACATCTTGTAATGTAACTTACAGTCCTTTCGTTGCCATTAAGTATTTCAGGGGCTATCCAACCATCTGTGCCAGTGATTCCGGATCTTCTTGAGAATGACATCCTGCCCATTTGAAGTTTCTTGCAAAGTCCAAAATCAGATATCATAACTCTTACTTCACCACGTGCATTTGGCATTGATAACAGAACATTTTGGGGTTTAATATCTCTGTGAACTAAAAAATAACATTAATTAAATTTATCGACAAAAACACTTGAGTGTAATCTTAATTGTATACACAGGAAACAGTTACATAACAAATACTTGAGATCTTACTTACTACAAAGTAGTTACTGAATAACTTAGATAAATTTGGATTACTTTCATTAAAAACTCACCAATGTCAAGGGAATGCAAGTGTGCAAGCCCTGCCGTCGCCTGTTTTAATATTTCTAAGGGTAGGAGGTCAAATAGTGGACATCTCTTTTGAATGAAGTCATGTAATGTTGCTTGGCAGAGTTCTAGAGCAATGTAGCGAAACATACGGTCCTGTTCCGTGCAAAAATACCTCACCACATTTGGATGGGCGTCACTTTCTCTTAATAAGGTTACCTCCCTGTCTGCAAAAGTGAAACACTCGGGAAGGATTCGTTTTACAGCCACTGGTCTTTTATCAAATTCTCCCCTGAAAGAAGATCATAAAAATACTGTGGCAATAAAAACCTTAACCCAAACAATTAAGAAAAAACTAATTATTCACTTGTAAACGAAAGTTCCTTCGCAACCTTTGCCCAGTAATTCTTCGGGATGAAAGGTAATTTTCCCAACTTGTACAAGTCCATTAGGAAGTTCTTCTGCTACTGCTGTCACAAGACCATTTTTGGTTGAAGAGTTGGTATTGCTACTTTTCGAACTATGTTGGGACAACTGTTGAAATTCTCTCACCTATTCAAAAATAAATAATGAAATAAATAAATAATCTAAATGTAAATGTTATTAGTGTTCTTACTTGGACTTGTAAGTACCAAAACATGCCAATTACGCAGCCTATTAATACAATTACGAGAATTGTAAGCCCCTTGTTTTCTTGCTCATGCAACCACAGTTTCAAGTTTTTAATTGTACCCTCAAAAACGCCCTTTTTAAATCCCTTATCATCATCCATAGTGTCATTTTCATCGTCGATTGAGAGCTGAGTTTCAGTTCCAATTGACATTTTCCTCCTCTAAAAGTTTTAAATAATTTCAAAATCATTGATTTAATTACAATTCTTCATACAAATCAGATTAAGTTTCGAGTAAATTGTAATCACATTTGTACAAAACTTACATGGCTTAAAGTGTGAATATCTCCATACATATCTTCACTTTTCGAAAAATCAAACCAGGGATTACTTTTAGTTCTCTTTCCTGCTGTTTTGGAGCTATAACTTTCATCAGTAATCAATTGTCTTCCATTATTTCTATAAGGTATTTGTAGCTTGCAGGAACTAAATGCTGGAACATTGTAGTGTCCCAAATACAGAATAGGTTCAGGATTTAGTTGAAGCGACGTGGGACTGTCTGATAGACGATAGTTTTTTCCTGAAATGGGACGAGGATAGTCGGGATTCCCATAAGCACCGAGTAGCAACGGGCCTCCGTCAGATGCAGTTATAGTGACCAAATTTTCGTCTACAAGTGACGGAATCGCATACAGACCAGTTGTATGTTCTCCTATGTACAAAGTCGGACTGCAAATTTATTACATAATTAAACAGAATGGACACAAGTGAAATATTTTGTTTCAGAGACTCACTAAAGTTTTATTGAAGCAGGTTGAGAGGGTTCATCAAGATACGAAGTCAAATGAGATAAAGTGTGATTAGCCAAACTTGTAGTAGGAACTGCTACTAATCCACTAGGGTCTAAAAGATAAGCTGCAACTACAGGGCTTTCAAGATCAATGTCCCAAACATAGGAGCCCCTTATTCTGTTCATACACGTTATTTTTCCAGACGAAGATGATGTAAAAATTGCCAATTCTTAAACAAACATTAATCATACAAGATTTTGGAAATATTTAAAAATAACATCCATCTTTACCATAATTATTTAAATGCTCTTTGCTCATGGGATTAGCTGAATAATCATAGAATGAAACATTCCATTTTCTCTCTAAATTTTGACTGTCCATCATAATGATGGAATACTGAGTTCTGCCTACATAAACTGAATTTCCTGGGCTTTCTTTGGGACATGTTGAAGCAGTTGTGTCCCAACCAAACACTCGATGCTTGTTACCAGTTTTAGGATTCAGCATAAACAAGGAGTCAGCCTTTTTTCCTTTTTAACACAAAAAAAATAATAACCGATCTAAACAAGTGTCATAGACTACTTTATCATCCAGAGGTGACAATATCAATAGATTATTTGAATTAGCATTATATTAATTAAACAATAAAAACTACATTTAGTTTCTTTACCTTGTTTATGTTTTGAATAAATTTATTACAATGAAACACTTACCTGTATACAAAATACCGTCTGAGCTTCTACAGGGAGATGATGCAACCAGTTGTGGAATAGTAAAAGACAGTTTTTTAATGGGTTCTTTAGGATTACCAACCACATACAATGATCCATCTTTAGGGTCAGGTAGAAAGAATGGTACTACTAAGTTATTATGATCTAATGGTACTGACACTACTGGTTCTGTAATAAACACTGATTCTGTAAAAAAAGAAAACATAATTCTACATTTATTTATTTTACCATCTTTTATTTTCCATCTTATGGCCCCAGTTTGTTGCTCCACTCCAACTAAGTAGCCATCAAGCGTGGAGAATAGCAACAGTCTGTTATCAGGCTCATTGGCAATGTCGGTGCTCTGATATGAAAACTTCTAGAAAATAATTACCGTTTCCTTGTAAATTATTAAATTCGATACTAAATAAAACATCCTCCCCTAACCTCTGCAGTAGAAACACTGGTTAACAGGTGGACAAAAAGTATTATCACTTCACATTTTACTGTCCATTTAAAGTCTCTTGTCATTGTAGATTCAATAAGCACTCACACTTCATAAATAGAACGTCTAAATAAACCATTTGAAAGGAGCTTCTTGAATAGATAACGCCGATTTAAATTTATTATTGATATTGCTAATGATAACATCATCCATTTGACAAGTTTTGATAGACAATTTAATGATAACTTAAATTACACGACACGCAAGCGTACAATAAATACAAATGTAGTTAGTTAAAGAGGTAGCGTGTAGATGGCTAAAAAGCTTCGAATTTAATAAATAAATAAATTAATCAAACCGCAGATGGCAGCACTAGTACGTTCAGAAAGAAAAATAAAAAAGTAAGATACGAGGTTCGTACGAAAAGTTTTTTGACGAAAAGCCTGTAACAAAAAGTTTTTGAACTGGGATATAAACACAGTTTTCAAATTTATGTGAACTTATCACATTAGTTACATAAAACATTTCTTTTAAATGAACAGTTTACTTTGAATATTTAATTTATGGATTAAATAAATAAAATTAAAATNTTGTTGTTAATTACTGTCAAAATAATGATTTTGAAACCTTGAAATGTCAAATTACGTCAATGTTATACAGGGTGATAAAAGTTTTGTGGCAGTAGCTTGACTGTTAATGTGACAAAGACTATATAGATGGTGCTACGTATGTCAAATACGTATTTGGGGCCTTTTTAAATCTTTTTTTATTATACGAGAAAATATCAACAATATCAAATTTTATGGTTATTAAAAAAAAATATGAATAAAAAAGTTGTACGAGGAACTTAGATTTATTCGTTTCAAAAATGTCACAGTGACATGTGTCTTACAAATTCTCAAGTAATTACTCATATAGCAGTGATATGTACTAGTTGTTTGTGTATCAAAAGGCTTATTTTTACTGGACAATTGCTTCCTATTCCTATATTTTCATATGCCACTTATATATTATTTATTGGCCATTCGATAGTGGGTATTACTCGGTTATGTGTTTCAGAAGAAAGAAGGGAAAGTTTCGAAAATGGTTTTGACTGCCTGGGATTTATCCAAAGCAGTTTTGCTTTACCATGTGTAACTGCTTCACTCTGGCTGAATTATGGCTACGATAATATCATTGCTGATTTACATACCATTTCAGCAATGGTCCCTCCACTAATTTATTTTATTGATATTCCCAGTGGAAAACCGATTTTAAGAATTTTTACTTCTTTAAATATTTACTCGTTGGTAATAATATCAATAATTAATGGAAATGGTTGGGGGGCATTGGCAACACTATTTTACATTCTTTATCCAACGTGCAATGAAATTGACGGTATAGGGGCCCCATTAGAAAATGTATGCAACTTTTGCTTATGTTTATTTGGTCATCTATCCTTGAAAGCTATACTTCTCAGTTTAAAAAATACAAATAAATAAACGAATACTCTGTTCTTTTTTGTATAAATGTTTTTAAGCAATAAAATTTTTATAATACATTTCCTATTGTATTGATGTCCATAAAGGAAAGACACCCTGTATGTGACTAAATACTACAGGAGTAAAACTCTATATAGGCCACCCATTATGCATGACATTGGCTTACATTTATGTCGTTTGTGTAAATTTGAAATAAAAAAGTACTTTGACTGTAAATATCTAAAATATGATAAGATAATTAATAAAAATACTTGTAAATATAAAAGATTGAAAATGGAAGTTAAAAATAGAATATAAGACCAAATTAATTCGTTACAGATTAGATTTTTTACACATATCTTTAAAAATAAAAATTAATTTATTAATCTAGTTGGGATTTTATTTTACAGCTTTTTTTATCAAAAATAAGGATGTTCATTATTTTATCTTTTTTAAGACTTTGTTTTCACAGGGCCAATCCCCTTCAGGTATACCAATCACTTTCTTTTTGGGGCACTCATTTAAACATGGGAGGATCTTAAAATTAAATAAAAATAATTACTTTATATTAAGTTACGAGGGTGGATTGATAAGTTTCCGGCCTAACCAAGAGATGACGCCACTAGGCCTAC